GTACCATGAATAGCAGCATTCTTGGGGGGGGGGGGGGGGGGGTGGTGTGGCTTGGATCTGGCCTCTGGTTGACCATGGAAGAGGAAGGAGAGTGCAGCTTGCATCCAGCCCCTCTGTCGTCTGGATTCGGTTGTATCTTCACACTTACTGTGTGCTTTCTCGGTTCTCTACTGCCCCACCTCTGTTTGCCTTCTCTCTGCTTTGTTGTGCTTTACTGTCTTCCCTAATGCTCATGATAGCTCATTCGCCTCTCTTTTATAAGTGAGGGAGGAGTCCACTCTGGTACTGTGTGCTTTATTGCTTTACTGTCTTCCCTGATGCTCATAATACTGCCTCTCTCCTCTGCTGCTGGAGGGACATCTGGTGATATGGGAGGAGGGAATGACTAACTTAGGTGACCTTTTCTTGAGTGAGTTGTGGGATGGCTTAGTATTGTCCCATCTACCATCTATTATCCATTTTTATTCTTTTATTTGTGTATACACTGACCATGAGGTGTTGAGTGCCATGAAAATATTGGTTTACAATACATGCTTTGTATCACCGATACAGAAAACAGTAATATTACCATGATGCATAATTTCCAAAAACAAGGATTTGTCCATTTAACTAACTTTTTTTCTGCCTGCCTACCTAGTCTATCTTTTTTAGAAAGACTACCTAATCTATCAGTTCTGAAGTTATGGGATAGAGGTAAGGTTTTGATGATTTCTATCCAATTAACGTCTTCTTATTTGAAAATTTTGATGTACAGTCCTGCAAAACTGATGTTCAATGGCATATCTTTGTATGCAAATATGATCAAATGTACCCGTCTTGACAGGATAGCTTATTAACTCAACTGTGATCTTATGACTGTCTAATTTCTAATAGCCTGAAGGTTATATGTGGAAAACTCTGGTAAAGTGTAAGTTTCCAAAAAAAAATCAATGTTTTTTGCTTGGTAAGTGAAGTTTAACTTGTGTACCTTTTCATTGTTAAGTAATTGGTTTGTTCATGGAGTTCAACCTTAAAGCTTTGATGGGGGTCATCATCACGACATTCCTTGTGAGCAACCTGTGACATGCCTGCATGAACTTGATTAGGCAGCAAGGAGAAGGTCATTTCACGGGGGTGCTATTGGAACATGGCATCAGAACTCTCCCAGTTGTTTGGCTAGTAAACCCTGTTGTTTATACAGTGAGCTTAGTGACTAGGGTGTTGATTTTAAAAGATATGCTTGATTTGTAGTATATGCAAAGATAATTAGATGACAGTACAATTTGCTCTTGTCCACCTTTTGTAGCCCAACTGATATGCTTTCTGTGTTCTTTAGACAATCATTCCCGTGGGGGAAAATAAATGAATCATTTTTATAGATTATATTTTAGACAAATCAATTGTTGTAAGTTCTCATGAAAATAAAAGAAAGCACAAGAATATGCTGCAATGCATTTAATCAGTCTGCTAATTATTTAGAGTAAATCACTTCTGCAGGGTGCTGGGACGTACATGTTCAGGATAGATGATGAGCGTGTTATAGATGCTACGCGGGCAGGAAGCATTGCCCATTTAATTAATCATTCTTGTGAGGTAAGGAAACATGCACTCCTTATGAAAGTGCTTTCCAGTTTTTGTTTGCAGCTAATATTGCTTCATCTGCTGTCTTATTGAAAACACATGGTGATGATCATTGCATAACCTTAGTTTGGTACATCCTTGTATCTATGTTACTCTGCACATTGGATAGTTGGACATAAATTTTCACCACTGGCATGATAACCACCTATGTGTCTATTCTGGACATGTTGCTCTTTTTTCCTCGTAATGTGAAGACAAAAGGAAAAATGCAATACAATATGCTCGAGGCAATGCTGGATCTAATGAAGCAATAGGCTAAAGTTCACAATAACTACGGAAATTTATCCTTTTCTGCCAAAAACTTGAAGTGAGCAGTCTCTTACCAAGCAATAGAAATAATAATTCCTCAGTGAGTTGTGAAGTAATGAACTCTTTTTGTAAAGTGAAGCAATCAATGACTATTGACAATACAATTATTGATTGATCTGTTGTACTTGTGACCGCGCCCCCCCCCCCCCCCCCCCCCCCTCTTTTCTCCTCCCCCCAGCACCAACCCAAAAAAGAGCCTCAAAACACATGCAAACACACCAGCACCTCCATGAAAAGAAAGGAACCAAATAGCTTTCATTCCCTACATTTGGCAATATTCTTTGGCATTTTAGCACGGGGGTTCAGATATTATGGTACTTCATGATGTTTTACTGGTTTACTTAGTACTAGTAGATACAAGAATACATAAGTCAAGACTATGTTTGGAATAATTTTTTCTTACATGCAGTTGTTGTAACAATTCTTTTTACCATTGCAGCCGAATTGTTATTCACGCGTCATAAGTGTTCTCGGGGATGAGCATATCATCATTTTTGCAAAGCGGGATATAAATCCATGGGAAGAGTTGACTTATGATTATAGGTAAGAATGAAATATCAATTGCTTGCAACCTTTTTAAAACAAGTCTTACAATAATAAGATGGTGCTTCATTCAGGTTTGTTTCGAGTGATCAGCGACTTCCTTGTTATTGTGGATTCCCAAAATGCCGTGGAGTTGTTAACGATGTTGAAGCAGAGGGGCAATCAGCCAAAATAAGGGTCAATAGAAGTGAATTATTTCAACAATGATCAGACTGAGGTCAGTGTATACACATATCTACCTTGCGTGCTATTCTGACGTGTAATATGTTGTACGCTCCTGTAAAAATTTTATGGATGCACCCTCTAATTGAGAAACTTGAAAATGTTCATTCAGGATGTTGGAAAAAAAATTTTGTGTAAAAATCATGTGTTTTTTTCCCCTAAATTCTATTGTGCCCTGCTTATAATTGGTTGATATTAATTTAAGTTTCTTGCCATATATTGCCAATTTTAAAGGACAAATAGATTTGTTTGTTAGTTCCGTTGATCTTTTGAGCTGGATCTCCAACCTATGGGTTTTTGAACAGATTGTAGATTGATTTTTTCTCCCCGAAGTTACCTTTAGTTTTAAAACCCTTTAAAAAGAAGCAAATGGTGGTGACACTTAAAACCTACAAGGGTAGGAAGATTATGCCACCACCATAATTCTCAAAAGTTCCCTGTAAATTATTTTATCTGTATACTATATATAGCACGGTAGGAGCCTCTCCTACAGTTTCACGTCAAAACAGTGGCGGATCTAAAATATTTCTTGAGCACGGGCAAGTCTAACGATAGATCATAACAAGCACATATAACATCGTTGTATGTTTAAATTTTATGATTTATACAATCAAAATTGACAACACTAATGTGAGAGGTTAGCTAGATTAGTGCCGTGAGCCAAGCAATTATAGACACATTCTGCTTTGCAAAAAAAAAATCTTAATTCTCAAAAGTTAGCCTTTTGTCAAACTAGTACAAGAATAATCGAAGATAAAGGTAAATCATATAGTCAACTCATTTATGGAAATATAGATAAATTATTATTCTAGTTTTGTAGTTACAATATATGGGTGTTTGGTTACTAGTTTGCTAATTCTGGTAAAAACTTGCGCAAACATTTGATGTATGTATAATTAGTTTACATTGAAATATTTGTGTAGCCAGATATCTAATCTCTACGCATTAATTAGCCCATAATTGTAGAGAAGTACATTTAAGTACACATGGCATGATGTGTATTTGTTTGCCTTGTCGTTAATGTTTATCCTGTCTCCTTGAAGCCAAAAAGATATTTTGATCTACAGTTGAAACTATAATGTTAGCTTTAATATTTGCAGGGATCGTATTTAGAATTGCCCCAGGGTACTGGATTGCGAACTGTGCTCCTTCGGGGCTAGTGGCAAAATTGCAAAAATTTGCCTCAGTTTTTCATGTGAGAAATGCTAATTATTCTTTGCTCACATTTACACAAGAATGCCATCGTAATTGTACATCTATTCTGACATAGGTCTGGCATTCCATTTGTTATTGGTACCATAATTGGAACTTACTTTGTGGTGGCATAATCAAAATATTCAGATCTTCTCATGTAATTTGTCCATTTGTCATCAGTTATATGTTGGCCCTATCAACCAAATGAGTCGAAATCATGTGCGTGATTGAGAAGTCCTGTTAACAATAGTTCAATGGAGATGCAGCTTCTGAATCACATTTTGCTTATCAGCCGTCCATAGTAGAACGATTGTGCATCTGGATCATCCGACGGACCTAATGGCTACTCCCACCATCTTAATTTTCTGTCTCCAACTTTAATCATCCATCTTATTTAATTTTTTTAAAAAAATTAAAATACATAAGTCAAACATAAATTACTATTCATGTTTTATAATCTAACAATAATAAAAAAAATACTAATCATAAAAAAGTTTTAAATAAGACGTAAGATCAAAACTAGTCATGAAAATTTATGGGTGCACTTATTTTAGAACTTGCTGCACTTATTTTAGAACTGATGTAGTAAAGGCTAAAGCTCTGCCCTACATAAATGTACAACAAAACAAAATGTTTGCTTTAACTGGGTGGGTATACAATTTGTCCAGGGCTCCAGGCTAGTGCACGGACTTGTTTAGTTCGCTCAAATCAAAAGGTCAAATGTGTTGGTAAGAGTAATCGTGTAGTGGGTACTACAAATAGTCCGAACCCGTGCAAGGCACATGAACAAGTTGGAGTCATTCACCCAAGTCCCAACTTTACACATGGCACAATTTTCTGCTGAGGAAAAAGTATTTCCTCCGTTTCAAATTTTTATGCCTGTCCTAATTTAAAACATATCGTTGATTATTAATTTATAAAAATCTATATAGTTTAATATTTTCTGAACTATATATTATAAAAGAATTTTCCATGAACCAAAAAAATATAAATCTGACGATATACGAGTTTATATAAATTGATGGTAAAAAATAGATTAAAATGAAATCTTATGCTGTACGAGTTTTGATGACCAAAGATAGATTAAAATGTTGACTTCAAATAAACGCAAGTAACTTGAAACGGCGGGAGGGTACGTAGCTTAATTAATATGTATATACACAATCAACCATAAAAGTAAAGTATCATTGTATCAACCATAAAACAAAACACAAGCCACAATGAAAAATGAAAACCAAGCACGACAAGACTCTGTTCGTTTGCCGCACTTTTAGGAGAGCTCAGCTAATATTTGCCACGAAGGTATATTCTAGTTGAACACCTATAAAAATTAACCATTTGCTCTCATGCCATTAGATCAGATCAAATTGGATCAAAATGACGCTACCGTCATATTCCGTTTCGTCAACAAACTTCGACCACGACTAACTCTTGAACGAGTCCAAAATGCAGTCTCGAGCCTCCAACAGTACCCACTAACCAGTGCTGATATAGGTGACTACTTTGCATTCGCACCATGTGGGCTGTTATAACTTATACCTGTCTGGTGCATCTGCAGTCTGTCATGAATTATGGCTTTCTTTTTATTATTTTTCTCTGATGAATCAATTAGCTTCGTTTTGGTTGCAACCTCCTGTTTCTGTTCCCAGGATCAGGTAGACTTGAAGGAGTCAATTTTCGAAAAGAAGCATGCAACATCATCACTGCAAAACATAACACAATTTTTTTGAAGAATCAGAAGAGAGACTGGGAGAAAGCAAAGAAAGCGTAGAGGATTACTCACCTGCATAACTCAACCCAATGGCATATACAAGAGCAAACTGCAGACTGCACACATAAACCAGCACAGCAGTAGCTGGTTACGATAAAACGAGTTAGATAATGATGGAGAACCCAGTACGAAACCACCAAACTGAACTAGACAATTCTGGTGTCAAGCACAAATCTGGCCAGAGCGCAAAACCAAACTACATCCACCTGAGTGCTATTTCAGTGGCGCCACATCTTTGCAGGCATGGTCATTAAAGATTGCGTTGTGCACAATTAGAAGTCCTATGGGCAAGTTCACAAACAATAATCAATGCCACATCACACTTTGTAGCACTCTATACAGTCAGAAATACTTGACGTTTTAGACAATGTCCTGTCAAACTTTTCAAACTGTGACTATCAAATGACTTTTAAAGGTAGTTTGAAAAACATAAACATGGCATATATAGATCTGTCTTGAAATGTACTTCCATAATATAATAAACTTATTAGATACTATGAATTAAATTTAATATAAAAGTGTGGTCAAACCAGTAAAGTCGCATCTCAAAAACCATGAATAAAGTCAAACATCAAGTATTCTTTTACTGGATGGGGTACATCTTTGCTGCTGCTGACTGCTTCTGGATGTGTCCACAATCCTTTCTATTCGAATTAAAATGTTGATGTTTAATAGAACTATACAGTCATCCACCAAAGATACATTCAAGTAAAACCTTAGTAAGACTACCAGCGATGAAGACAAACAAAGGGCTAGTAAAAGGGCTTGAAGATGTTGATTTTTTGAAATTCATGAGATGCACCGATGATCAAATAAGATAATTCAACTCACTCCCAACGTTTATTTGTTTAACCTAATGATCTGATGTAGAAGAGAAATACATGGTTGCTCATTATTGGACCTTTCTGCAGGATTTATTTTTTTAACAAGTTCTATGCAAAATAGATAAAGATTCAATGCTGCCACAAGTTTAAGTTTTAGAATTCAACTAACGTTTCATTTTTTTTAAAAAAAACTGAAAATTTAGGTGCAATTGTCAGCTGTGAAGATATCTCCACAAGTTCAAAGAGCAAATACATATGTCGAACAGTTAGTTAATAAGAAACTTGTGAGCAAATATGTATTTGGAACTACAGGAATCAACATGTTAACTACAGGATCAAGTGATTTGAATAAATGTATTCTTCTATCATAAAGCAGAATTTTCCAATGAAAACTAGCCTAGGGACTGCTTAGTAACCTACCAGCAATCATAAAGAAGTTCAGCGTTTTCATAGAAAATCAAATGGGCAATCTCCTAGTTTGACGCAAGAATGGCTTTGCTATATATATGGGCTCTATTTAGACTGGCTTCTAGTGATGGACAATGATCATGTCAGTATACATGGGTGGGCAGGTGGATACAGATTGGCTGAGCACCTGCCACAGGCTTAGGTGTTTTGGGAATACAGAAACAGAATGCCCAAGATCGATAGGGTGATACCCCTATCACCGTGGCACCATGGCGTGAGGAAGAGATAGAGGAGTTCTTGGATTTTCTGATTGGTTGTCCTTCAAACCTACTTTATGCTTTTAGGATTGTTGTTCATTATTAAAACGAGGTCTAGGATGCCCCAAAACATGATCACAAGAATATTATCTTAGGTATGTCGGTCTGTCTCAAGGCTTGCATATACGAAGGGATCCATGGAGAAACTTCTTTTTTAAGCTTTAACAATTGAAGAACTATAACATGCCCATAACAACATTGTCATTTTAATGTAAACAATACGAAGGGATCCTGCACTAAATATTGTCATGTTTCAATTTCTTGGAAATGCTTTTTCTTTACCCTATGAATTGCATAAAAGTGAATATAGAAGTAGAAATGATTTTCTTATGAACCTTAAGGTCTTCACTGCTAGTCTTATTCAAATATTAAGAATCAATGTGTCCCCCGTCAGCAAGACTGTTAATCTAATACAGTTTCTTTGTGATGAGCTAGTTCAGTTACCAATTACACCTCAATTTTTCTTTCTAAAGATTTATTGTGCAGGAACACATTTGCAATGGAAACCTCACCAATCTGTGCAGAATGAAGGAGAAACTGCCCAACCCCGGGCGCCCGGGTGGCGAGTCCCCAACGCTCCCGGCAGTACCTCACACTCTCCCACACGATGAGGATGGCTAACATTCCCAACAGCGCCATTGGCATCCGGTACCTGGACACACCAGCAGTAGCAGAAATATTTCTCAGACGCAGAGACTGGGAACAGATAAAAGCAATAAGCGCAACAATTAACGAACTAGGAAGGTGGCAATGCATATGATACAGGCAGCAAGCGAAGACAAGGATGGAGAGCGCGGCGTAATTGCGGGCGTAGCGGCGGACGTTCTCCTGGACGCGGAGTCGGGCCTGGGTCGAGGTCGGGGGCCAGGAGTAGGACGCGGCTCCGGGCGGACCGAGGAAGGCGAGGGACCAAGAGGGAGTGGGCGCGGCGAGGTCGGTAGTAGACAGCCGAGCGAAGGGGTTGAGCGCGAGGACCGAGGCGAGGGTACGGGCGAAGGCGAGGACGGCGGCGGCGGCGGAGGTGGGGTTGATGAGAGTGGATGTGGATGAGGCGGCGGCGGTGGTGGTCGTTGCGGAGGGGGAGGAGGAGGTGGAGGCGGAGGCGGAGGCTGAGGCTGAGGAGTCGAGGATGTCGAGGTAGCCGGAGTCGCGGAGCCAGCGGTCGAGAGCAGGGTCCGGCACACTCAGCGACAGCGGGTTGGGCTTGAACGACGACGACGAAGACGACATGGCGTCACTGGGGAGGATTCCGTCTGGAGGATAGGGATGAGGGTGCTCTGGCCTGGTGTCTGCCCAATACACTCCAGTTTAGGGTGTGTCAGTGTGTGGATGTAAAAAGTATACGAATACTCATTTGAAAAGTATTAAACATACACTAATAATAAAATAAATATTTGTAAACTACGAGACAAATTTATTAGAGTCTTTTACCCCTATGTCATTAAGAAAATTGCTGCTTACTTATGTGTCACAAAAAAAGTTTAGAGTTACTTGTATGTCATGAGCCCAACTTTCGTTGACCCATGTGCCATTTTGGATGGATGGAGACATAACATAGGTGTTAGGGGCTGTGTAAAGACAGTTTTGCCCTTGTGTACAATAATAAGTTTAAAAAATCAGAAAAGTGAAAAATAATTTAGAAAAGGCGTTAAAAATCAAAAAAAGGGAAAATAATTTTTTGAAAAAGGTAAAAATCAGAAAAAGTGAGAATAAATTTAAAAAATGTTTAAAAATCCGGGAAAAATTAGGAAAATGTGGGAAAAATTAGGAAATGGTGGAAAAAATAAGGAAAAATCGGAAATAATTTTTTTAAAAAGGAAAAAATAGGTGCATGACCATTGCATGCGGACAAATAACGATATATCACATGAAAAAACAAGGGCATGACCATTGCACCTATAGCAACAAGTTCATATCAAACCATACATGGCCATTGCATCCATATCAAACCATACAAGGCGGCTTGGAGGCAGGGGTGCGCCGGCCTGGGGCGACGGGGCGACGGGGCGCGCCGGCCTGGGGCTACGGGGTGACCTGCGGCGGCGGTGGACTTCGGCGGCGGCGACGACGTAGGATGGGGATGGTGTCGGCTCCGGCCGCCGCGGATGGCGATGGGGAAGGGGACTGCGGTGTAACGCCCCGATTTTCGTTCGGGAATAAAAATCAATTAATAATACATTTTCTAGAGATTAAATAAAAGATAAATCAATTTAATCAAGTAAAATAATGGGAGAATTTGAAATTTTCCCTTAAAAATCAATGGCCGGGAATATTTTGTAATATTCTTTGTGCCCTAATGTACTCTCCAGAATTTTCCGTGAATTTTCGGAGCTCGAGAAATAGTTTTAATAGCACAAAGATCATTGTATCAATTAAAATAAAAAGAAAACAATTAAAATCCTCTTTCCTCTCTTTGGGCCCCTTTCGGCCCAACCCCTCCTTTCTCTCCCTCTCGGGCCGGCCTCCTCCCTCGGCCCGCTCGGCTCTCTCTCTCCCTCAAGTCTGTTTTGCCTCCCCAGCCGGCCTCTCCCTCCCTCTCTTTCCGACAGGTGGGACCCGTGGACCCCACCTGTCATCCCCAACCTCAGGCCGGCAGCTGCCGTTGCCGCCATGGCCGCCGAAAACCGCCCACGTCGCCGCCATTCCCGGCCTCCTCGAGCCCTCTCTCGCGTGGGACCGGAAGCCACACCTCTCCTCCACCTCCCCCGTTTTTCCCCAAAAACCGGCGCCAGTTTGGCCCCCCACGATCCCACGATGCCTCGCCACTTCGCCGGCCGTTGCCGCCCCACTCGGCCACGATCTCCCCCTCCGGGGCCTATAAAAGTGTACCCCGGCCTCCCCTCATCCATTTCCCCAACTCGCCGCCCCCTCCCGCGCGCTCTCCCGAGCTCCCCTCGCTGCTCCCATCGCCGCCACTCATCGGCGACTCTCCATCCGCTCGTCACCGCCGCTACAACCGTCGCCGTGCTGTTCCGCCGCCACCTGCGGCTTCGCCGTGCCTTGCCGCACCTCGGCCCCGCTCCGTTTTCCCCATTCCATCGTCGGAACCCCCTCCTCACCGCGCTCCCTCTCTCCACCACTCACCGACGAGCTCCAGCCGCCGCTCCTCGCCGCTCCAGCCACCACCGCGCCGTGCCGCCGCCACCGCCGGCATCACCCCGCCGAGCTCCACCCCGGTCCCTACTCCATTTTCCCATTTCGCCTCCGGAACGCCGCCGCCACGCGCACCACCTCTCTCCCTCACCATGGCCACCTCCAGCCGCGTCGCAACGCCGCTTCGGTCCTCGCCGACCCGCGTCGTCGCCTCCCTCGGCTCCGCAGGGACGGGGAGATCCTCGGCCACTGGCCCTCTTCGCCGGAAATCCGCCCGAGCTCCACCTCCCTCGTCGCCGGTGAGCTCCTCCTTGTATTGTCGTGGTCGGCAGTCGTTTCCGTTTACCTCGCACCAGTTCTCACCTCCCTAGCCCCTCCTTGATTTTCCTCAGACCGAGGCCGAGCCCGTCCGCCCCTTCCTGAGCGACGCCCGTTGCCGGAGCTCCGTCGCGCCGTCTTCCCGAGGAGCCTCGCCGCCGCCGTTCCTTGCCGTCGGCCGCCCGTTTGCCGTCGTGACGCTCGGTGAGCACTCCCCTCCCTCTCCCCTTCCTCCCCTTCGTCGGCCACCTCCTGTGCCTGCTCGCGACGCGCCGCCGTCGCCGGTGGCCGTCCGACCGGGTCGCCGCCGCCGCGCTCCGCGCCGCTGCCGGCTGTGCCGGGCAGCCGGCTGCCGCTTCACCTTACCGCGCCGCGCCGCCGCTCCCTAGCGTGCGCCGCCACCGCCCGCATGCGCTGCCTCTCCCCGGTGGCCGCGCGGCCGTGCGCCATCACTCGGCTGGCCGGCTTTGAGCCGTGACCGTGCCCCAGCCGCGCCGCCTCGTGGCCGTCCGATCGGCTTTGGGCCGATCCGGGCCGTCGGTTCCCGTGGACCGGCGGTGAACCGCCTCGGTGGTCCCGGTCCACGGTGGACCGGCGCCCTTGTGCCGCTGACCGGTGGGGCCCGCTTGCCGGCGCCGCCCCTCCCCGTTGATGACGTCAGCAACCCTCTTTTCCTTTGGAAAAATAAATAATAATTGCGCAATAAATCGAGTTTAATTCTAGAAATTCATTTAAATGGCTCAAAACTTCTAAAATTCATATCTAATTCATTCGAACTCCGAATTGAGCCATTCAACTTGCAAAATTCATCTAAAATTAAGCTCTACATGTTTGTTTACTTTTTATGTACTGTTTTCTTGGTTTTTATTAGAGTTTTTCCTCGTTTTGCGTGCCAGCGTGTAGTTTCCGTCGTTTCGGAAGTCCGCGGTCGCGAGGAAAAGAGTTCGGAAAATCCAAGTGAAGAAGCAAGGCAAGTCACACATTCCTCTTGAGCATGTTGATCCCAATTTATAAATGTTTTACCGTTTACAAATAAATATGCATGTTTTGCTAATTACACTGGGTTAGGGTTTACCTATCTGCTCGCTTGTGCCATGTTTACTTGATATCTATCCTTTGTCAACCTTGGGTGATAAATTGTCTAGCTCGTGTTACTTATGTGACCTAGCTAGAACTATATGCTTAGCCATGCTTAATTACTACTAGCTCAGTCGATGGGATAATTGCAGTATTAGACATTCTGGTATCTTGTTGAGCTGCGTGCTCGAGACATCTGGCCATGTTTCATGGTCGTAATTATCCAACTAAAATGCGACTGAATGGTGGGCTGTGGGTGCATGGTTTTGTGAGTCGCACCCATGGCAATTAAGGACCGGTTCACGGGAAACCCTGGAAGACTTACAGCGCTTGCCACAAGCGGGAATGAGTAACTGCTTGATCTGAAGTATAGCTCGACCCTTTCCTAGGCACCGGTGGCGAGGGTGGGCGTGATGGAGTTGGGTCGGCCGGGGTGTCCGGTTGTCCAGCTGCCGGATTCACCGCGGCGCAAGAGGGGACCGCCCACTGCCTTTTGAGGGGTGGGGGTGAAACCTTAGCGTGGTGTGGATGGTTAGGGGAGGGTTATGCGAAGAGTCTCGTCATAATCACTCGACATGGTGACGTGTGCATCATGGGCACATGATGACGCGGTGACATGTCAGTGGGTTGTGTCTTGTGGGTACAGTTGTGCACCTCTGGCCAGAGTAAAACTATTCGAATAGCCGTGCCCGTGGTTATGGGCGATCGACCAGATTCATCGTGATTAGTCTCACCCCTAATAAATCGACCCAATACACTGTGGTTCAGGTGGGTTGGTTGGGCCTGTTCAACGTGGTGTAGCGTTGATCAGTGGAGATTTCAATATTACTTTAATTACCCAACCGTTTTACTGTTTTGCTCAATAAAGTGTTTTACAACTGCCTTTATGCAAATAGCCACAAACCCCTCCTTGTATCCCCTTGCACGTCTGCATCGTTGGTGTGGCTTACTGAGTACGGTGGTTGTACTCAGCCTTGCTATTATTCCCCCTTTTCAGAAGTGTAGTGCTTCTGAGCTGAAGATGGAATTAGAGGACCAAGGCTCAGACCCCAGTTGAGTTTTGCCTGTGGAGTGGAGCTGAAGCCCCGCTAGGATCGCCTTTTTCCGCTGCTGCTGCTTTTGTTTCGGTGTGAGGACTAAGTGCCTCTTCTGTAAGTATTTTACGCTTTATTTACGTTTGGAACTGTATATTACTTGTCGTTTTGTGTACCCTGGCTGGTCCTGGACAGGGATTCAATACGCAAAATAGTCTGGAAATTTGGGTTAAATTTCTGGGCGTGACATGCGGCGTCGGCACCGGATGGGGAAGACCTTGCCTCCGGCGACGACTGGGGATGACGTCGGCTCTGGCCCCGCGGATAAGGGTGGGGAAGACGTCGGCTCCGGCCGCGGCGGATGGGGGTGGGGAAGACGTCGGCTCCGACGGGGGTAGTGGTGGAAAGCGGCGGCGAAAGGGGAAGACCTCGGCTCCCGCGGCGGCTTGAGAACTCAGCACCGGCGAGGCTAGGCGGCGGCGGTGGCGGCGGCGAGGCGAGGCAGCGGCGGCGGCATGCGGCTAGGGTTAGGGTGCGGCGGCGTGCGGCAAAAACATGGAGAGAGCAGGAGAGGAGAGAGAGTATAGAGTTGAAAATAGAGTAGGGGAAAATTAGTCATTTTCATACATGGGTCCCACATGTCAGAGATATGGAACCGTTAAGTTCTAACAGAAGGCGGACGAAATGGCACATGGGTCAATGAAAGTTAGGCTCATGGCATACAGGTGACTCCAAACTTTTTTATGGCACACAGGTAAGCATCAACTTTTTTAATGGCATAGGGGTAAAAGACTCAATTTATTAAGCCT